GACCCTTATCTTACACCATACATAAAAATTAACTCCAAATGAATTAAAGACTTAAATGTAAGAATTGAAACCATATAACTCTTAGAAAACATGGGGAAAATCTTCTGGACATTAGCCTTGCCAATAATTTATTGGATATGACACCAAAAGCACAGGAAACACAAGCAAAAATAGAAAAGTAGAATGATATCAAACAAAAATTCTTCTGTATTTTAAAGGAAACAACCAAATATATAATTAACCTACAGAAAAAGAAAAATTATTTACTAATCATGAGTCTGATAGGGGTTAATTTCCAAAATATGTAAGGAATTTCTAGCACTCAACAGCAATCAATCAATAAATAACCATATTTAAAATATGGAAACAAAACTGAATAGGCATTTCCCCAAAGAAGGCACACAAATGAATAGCAGGTATATGAAAAGGTGCTCAACATTACCAATCATCAGAGAAATACAAATTGAAACCACAATGAGCGATCACCTCACAGCCATGAAAATGGCTATTATCTAAACAAAAGGAAAACACAAGTATTGGGAAGGACGTGGGAAAAAAAAACCCTGGTAGACTGTTGGTAAAAATGTATATTGGTGCAGCCACTATGAAGAAGAATAGGGAGATTCTCCAAAAATTTAGAGAGCTAACATATGATGCAGCAATCTCTCCTCTCTGTATATATCCCAAAGTATTGAAATGGGTCTGTTGAAGACAGATCTGCATTTCCATGTTCATTGCAGCATTATTTATTCACAATTTCCAACATATAGAAACAACCATAATGTCCATTGATAGATGAATGGGTAAAAGAAACATGTCATATATGTACAATGAAATACTGTTTAATGTTTAGAAGAAAGAAATGCTGCCACTTGTGTCAACACAGATGAACCTGGAAGACCTTATGCTAAAGGAAATAAACCAGTCAGTCACAGAAGGACACATACCACATGACACCACTTTTTATTATTTGGGTGTGTCCCCACCCAAATTTCATCTCGAATTGTAGTTCCCATAATTCCCATGTGTGATGGGAAGGAACCAGTGGGAAGTAACTGAATCATGGAGGTGGTTTTCCCCGTGCTAGTCTCATGATAGTGAGTAAGTTCTCAGGAGATCTGAAGATTTTATAAAGGGCTTCCCCCTTCACTTGGCTCTCATTCTTCTCCTTCCTGCCATCAAATGAAGAAGGAGATGTTTGCTTCCCATTCCACCATAATTGTCAGTTTTCTGAGGCCTTTCCTACCTGCAGAACTGTGAGTCAGTTACACCTCTTTCCTTTGTAAATTACCCAGTCTCAGGAAGTTCTGTATATCAGCCTGATAATGAATTAATATAGTACAGTAAGTTAGTACCAGGCAGTAGGATGCTACTGTAAAGATACCCAAAAATGTGGAAGTGACTTTGGAACTGGGTAATAGGCAGAGGTTAGAATAGTTTATAGGGCTCAGAAGAAGACAGAAAGATGTGGGAAAGTTTGGAACTTCCTAGAGACTTTTTGAATGGCTTTGACCAAAATGCTGATAGCGATATTCAGTCCAGGCTGAGGTGGTCTCAGATGGAGATGAGGAACTTTTTGGGAACTGGAATAAGGGTGACTCTTGCTATGTTTTAGCAAGGAGACTGGTTGCATTTTGCCCCTGTCCTAGAGATCTGTGGAACTTTGAACTTGAGAGAGATGATTTAGGATATCCGGCAAAAGAAATTTCCAAGCAGTAAAGCATTTAAGGGGTGACTTAGGTACTGTTAAAGGTGATCAGTTTTCTGTATTCACACAGATATGGTTTGGAATTGGAACTTATGTTTAAAAGGGAAGCACAGCGTAAAAGTTCAAAAAATGTGCAGCCTGACAATGCTATAGAAAAGAAAAACCCATTTTCTGAGGAGAAATTCAAGCCAGCTGCAGAAATTTGCATAAGTAATGAGGAGCCAAAGTTAATCACCAAGACAATAAGGAAAATGTCTCCAGGGCATGTCAGAGGTGTTCATCGCAGCCCCTTCCATAACAGACTCAAAGGCCTAGGAGGAAAAAATAGTTTCCTGGGCCAGGCCCAGGACGTTGCTGCTTTGTGCAGTCTCAGGACTTGGTGCCCTGCATCCCAGCCATGGCTAAAAGGGGGAAACATAGAGCTCAAGCCATTGCTTCAGAGGGTGCAAGCCCCAAGCCTTGGTGGCTTACATATGACGTTGGGACTCTGGATGTGCAGAAGTCAAGAACTGAGATGTGGGAACCTCCACTAAGATTTCAGATGATGTATGGAAATGCCTGGATGTCCAGGCAGAAATTTGCTGCAGGGGCAGAGACCTCATGGAGAACCTCTGCTAGGGCAGTGCAGAAGTTAAATGTGGGGTCGGAGCCGACACACAGATACACAGAGTCCCCACTGGGACACTGCCTACTAGAGCTGTGAGAAGAGGATCACTGTCCTCCAGATCCCAGAATGGTAGCTCCACCGACAGCTTGCAATGTGTGCTGGAAAAGCTACAGATACTCAATGCCAGCTTGTGAAAGAAGCTGAGAGTGGGGCTGTACCCTACATAGCCACAAGAGCAGAGCTGCCTAAAGGCATGGGAAACCACCTCTTGCATCAGCATGCCCTGGATGTGAGACTCGGAGTCAGAGAAATCCTTTGGGAACTTTAAGGCTTAATGACTGTCCTATTGGATTTTTGGGCTTGCATGGGGCCTATGGCCCCTTTGTTTTGGGCAATGTCTCCCATTTGGAGAGAGTGTATTTAGCCAATATCTGTACTCTCATTGTATCTAGGAAGTAACTAACTTGCTTTTGATTTTACAGGCTCATAGGTGGAAGGGATTTGCCTTGTCACAGATGAGACTTTGGACTTGGACTTTTGGGTTAATGCTGAAATGAGCTAAGACTCTGGGGGACTGTTGGAAATGCATGATTGTGCTCTGAAATGTGAGGATATGAGACTTGGGAGGGGTCTGGAGTAGAATGATATGGTTTGGTTGTGTCCCCACTCAAATCTCATCTTGAATTGTAGTTCCCATAACCCCCATGTATCGTAGGAGGGACCCTGTGGAAGATAATTGAATCATGAGGGCAGTTTTCCCCATGCTATTCTCATGATAGTGAGTAAATTCTCAGGAGATCTGATGGTTTTATAAGGGGCTTCCCCCTTTACTCAGCTCTCATTCTTTTCTTTCTTGCCATCATGTGTAGAAAGATGTGCTTGTTTCCCCTTCCACCATGATTGTAAGTTTCCTGAGGCCTCCCCAGCCTGTGGAACTGTGAGTGAATCAAACCTTTTTTCTTTGTAGATTACCCAGTCTTGTGCAGTTCTTTATAGCAGTGTGCAAATGGACTAATACACCAGTTATGTAAAGAATTGAAAATAGTCAAACTCCTAGAAGCAGAGAATGGAATGGTGATTACCAGGGGCTTAGGGAAGCAGGAAACCAGGAGGTACACAGCTTCTACTATGCAAGATGAGTAAGTCTTAAAGAGCTATTATACAACATAGTGCCTAAAGTTACCAATACTATATTATAGACTTGAAATTTTCCTATGTTTGCAGATACCATGTTAAGTAATCTTATCACAAAAATAATTATTATAAACAAATAGAGAGTGGGAAATCTTCTGAAGGTGATGAATAGATTTATATACAGATCTTGGTGAGTTTCATGGGTGTAGACTTATCTCCAGGCTCATGAAGTTGTGTACATTAGATGTGTATGGTTGTTTTTATGTTAATCATACACCAAGGAAGTGGTTTAAAAAGACTTTCATTTCTCCAAGAAAATGCCTTGGCACCTTTTTCAAAAGTTATGTGATCTTCATATATGGACCTAGTTTGGGGTTGACTTTTTTCTTTCCTTTCAGCACTTTCAGCATATTAACTATGTTGTTTTATTGTTTTCTATCCATCATTGCTTCTTATGTGAATTAGGTGTCATTTATGTTATTACTCTCTTACTCTCTAATAAGTCTTTTCCTCTGTCTGCTTGTTTTTCATTGTTTAATTATTTTATTTTATGTTTTTATTTTTGTGGGTACATAGTTGGTGTATATATTCATAGGGTACATGAGGTAATAGCTAAGACTTCCATCTGCTTTTAAGATTTATTTTTATATTTAACTCTCAGCAGTTTGACTATGATATGTGTAGCTCTCTTTTTAAAAATGTATTCTTCAAGGTGTTTTCCTTCTTGTGAATCTATAAGTGGATGTTTTTCAAATGATTTTGGAGTTTTATCATCATTTCTCAACTAATTTTTTCTACTCCATTCTCTATCTCCTTGATTTTGGAATTCACATTCAATCTATGTTTGTCTGCTTGACATTGTCCCATGAGTCAGTAAGGCACTAGTCATTTTTTTTTTCTCTTTGTTCTTCAGCGTGGATAACTTTTATTGACCTCTTTTTAAGGTCATCAGTTCTTTCTACTGCCGTATCTAATCCACTGTTAAGCCCATTCATTCTATTTTTCAATTCAGATGCTGTAATTTTTAGCTCTAGAATTTCCATTTAATTATTTATCATAGTTTTTATGTCTCTGGAGACCTTTTCCATCCGTTTATACATTATAATCTTTTCCTTAAAGTTCTTGAATATATTTATAATGCTGTTTCAAATTTTTTGTCATGTTTGCTTATCTTTGAGTCTGTTTCTCTTAAATGCTTTTCCTCCTTTTTAATGGGTCATGTTTTCCTGCTTCTTTGCACATACATTAAACGATAAACTTTGTATGTTTGTTCCATCCAAATTTCATGTTAAAATATAATCCCTGAGGTTGGAGGTGGGGCCTTGTGGCAGGTGTTTGGGTCATGGGGCAAATCCCTCATGAATAGTTTGGCGTGCTGTCCTTGCGATAGTGAGTGAGTTCTTGTGAGATCTGGTTGTTTAAAAGTGTGTAGCACCTCCCCCTTCACTCTCTCTTGCTCCTACTCTTACTATGTGACAGGTCAACTTCCCTTTTGCCTTCTGCTATGATTGTAAACTTCTTGAGGCTCTCACCAGAAGCCGACGCTGAAGCCAAGCTTGTACAGCCTGCAGAACTGTGAGGCAATGAAACCTCTTTTCTTTGTAAATTACTCAGTCTCAGGTATTTCATAGCAACATACAAATGGCCTAACACAGTAAATTTGTATTATTTGTTGAATGTTATGAATGCTATCATGTCTTAGTTTGTTTCCTTTTTAAGGATGTTAAATATTTTTATGCAAAATAACCAAATTACTGGTAGATCCTGTGGAGCTGTTTTCTTTGGTTATGATGTCACTATTTCACTTTTCAATGAAATCCTAGAATGTTGCCTTTATGTTAAAATGTGAGTCTTGTGTATGAGACATATCATTTTCTGGGATCTCAAGTGGATGCTCAAGGTGTGTAGTGAGGTTTCTACACCGTTGTTTTGTCAGAACATCAATGTCCATGAGTTCTACAGGACCTCCTGTATCTCCGTTCAGCTGCCAACTCTGTAGCAAGTCCTTCCTGCAAGGCCTTAAGGAGTCTCTTGTGGATGCGCGTCCAGCCCTGTGCAAGGCTTCAAAGTGAGTCCCATTGCTACTTCTGTAGCCACTCCTCTGTACATCTGCTTGACTTCCTGACTGCCAGCCACTTCAGCAGGTTCAAACTCCAATCTCTGATATTTTAATTCAACAACCCTGCTACTCTGTTTGAGTTTCACCTCCTTGTGTCTGCAGGCAGGATGGCAGTGCTATCTTCAGGCTTGGTTCTATGTTTGGATTTTCCTCACAACCTGTATCTTGGTTGTCTGTTGCCCAATGTCCAAAAACAGTTGAATCATCAATTTTGTCCAGTTTTATGCTTGTTCTCCACTGGAAGGAGAGTCTTGTAACTCACTGTCATAACCAGAAACCAAAGTATCATCACCTCTTATTTGGATTACTGCAGCATCCTTCTACCTATCTTCCTGCTTCCACTCTTGCCTACTCCCCCATCACCACAGTCAAGTCTCAGCCTATCGGTCAGAGTCAACCTTGCTAAATAGTTAAAACATGCTGCTCCATTACTAAAAACCTTCCATGGCTTTCTGGGGGAAAAAAATGCTTTCAATGACCTGTCTGACCTTTCCCCAGTCCTCACCATGACTGGGTCTCTAACCGTGAATTCTCATCGTTTCCATTTGCGCTAACCGGTGTCCTCCCTCTTGTAGATATCCCAGCCATGCACTGGAGCTGGGCACCCACTGCTCTTGGTTCAAGGTCTGCTTCCAGTCACTTGATGGCTCTCTGCCTCATTGTCTTCACTTTTATTTCAATCTTCATCTTCTTTCTGAAACTTTTCTGGCAACTCTTTCCAAAATTGATTTTCTCCATCAAACTACATGAACTTTTCTCTCTACATCTCTATGTCTTTTCCTCTATGAAACCTGTCAATAACTACAACATAGCCTCTTGTGAATATTGACCTTGTTGTGATTTGTCTTCCACATTTAGAAGTAAAAGCTTCAAAAGGCATGAACATTTTGTGTTTTGTTCACTTTTGTCACCCCTTCACCTACAAGAGTACTTGACTCTGAGCAGACTCTTGGTATTCCTTGAAACAATAAAAGCTAAAGCAAGTATACAGAATTTACTTTATACAATAATAATTACTTACTATTTACTTGTTCACTTAGTCTGTAAATTTTGTCAGGAAAACTTATGATGTACTAATTATAACACATAGAAGAGCATTTATGTCTTAAAAATACTATAATGATAGCTGGAATAAATTACAGAAGACAACCTTTCCAGATATTTCATTAAATACCTTAAATACTGAGAATCTTGTAAAAATTACAGTGTATATTTTCTTTCATTCCAAAGAGACTACATAGAACCCAGATGATTTTGTTTGACAATGATTGAAATAGAGATGAAATATTTTACTGCATTTTACTATCGATATAATGACATCCTCAAAATTTCTGGATATTTTCATGGTTCATACTGTTTTACTAAATTACCTAAAACTGCTCTTCTTCTTATATTTTTCAACATTTTAAAAGTTATTAACACTTTCCCCCTTAGATTCATTTCAACAAAACAACCATGATTATGGAATTTTTTTTCTAAAGATTACATGTTTCCCTGATTAAAATGGGATAGAAAATCATTCTTCCTGTTAGTGATCCTGGGCAGCTTGGTTCTCTGGTGGATTCTACTCTTTTCCCCTGCTCTAGTTTGAACTGCAAGGCCTGATGCTCTGAGATGTGTTCCTCAGTGATAGATTCACAGGCAACTCACTGGGTGTGGCCCTGCGAGGCACTAGAGGGAGACTGGGAGGTGGAGAGAAGAATCAAGCCAGCCTTGTCTTCTCTTTACCCACTTCCAATGGCAGTGTCTGTGTGATGGCCTCACTTTCCCCAGGGAGGCCCCCGGGGTGAGTTACACCACCTCCATCACTTCCTCATGGCACTCACAGGCCTGGTGCAGTGGCTTCCTGCTGACACTAATCCCCGGGTACTTGCATTCTCTTTTGGCTCCCTGCCCCTCCCTCACCTGTGCAATGGTTTCCCTGCATTACATTCTCTTTTGTTAGGTAGATACATAGATGCATAATATGGAGACATAAGTATAGAAAGATATAAAGGAAGACATAAAGATACATATATATGTTTTATGTGGTTTCTCTTTTCCAGGCATTTCCTGAGTAAACCCTTAGTCAATGACTCAAGTCATGCTATGAGCAACAATTTCTGTGTTCCACATCATGCACAAGCAACACAATTCTGTGACTCTCCATCTGTTCCCAAGTTATGCTTTGGCCAGTAATCCAATTGCTACCATCGTACCTTCCTCTTAAAGAGTCCTTGGATATTCCTTCGTAGCTGGAGGGAAGTTACTTCTTTAGGGTTATTTGGGCACTTGGGGAACCTTTGTCATCTTTATGACTTAAATTTGACTTCCAAAATAAATAAGACATACAAGGAAAGAACATCAATTTAATAGAAAAGTTCAACATATTTCCATGTGGATGTCTTTTTTACATTAATTTGGCATCTCCTTTCTGTCCTACTCAACCCTCTTAAATAGAAAACAGAGAGTCAATTATTTGATTGGCTGTATTAGGGAAAGAATTAGGGCCAAACCTGTTTGTCCTTTTGTTCTCTGTTTATTTGGAAATCTGAAATATAATCTATTCTTGGATTATCTGCAACATAAATTTTCAAGGGCAGGGAAGGCTGAAGTCTTCAGTTCATCAATAACTGGTTGGGTTCAATGCAGGGTCGCTGAACAGGAAGCACACTTTTGCAGAGGAGGGAGCCATTCTGTGCAAACAGCCTGATCAGTAATAAAGGCAGTGATTTTGTTGTCTATCTTTTTGGCTTCTCCCTTATGCATTAATTAATTCAAATGTGGGAGTAGGGAAGACTTTCATTAAGTCTTTTAAAACCCTAACAAGAGTTTACAGAACAAACATCACATTTAACACATTTTTTTTTTCTTTGAGACAGGGTCTCACGCTGTCACCCAGGCTTGAGTGCAGTGGCACAATCTCTGCTCACTGCAACTTCTGCCTCCCAGGTTCAGGCTATTCTCCTGCCTCAGCCTCCAGAGGAGCTAGGATTACAGGCACCTGCCATCATGCCTGGCTAATTTTTGAATTTTGAGTAGAGATGGAGTTTCACCATGTCAACCAGGCTGGTGACATTTAACACTCTTACTGGTAAATTTAACACACCCAGGCCAGAATCCTTGCATCCTTTACTGGGAATACATGAAAAGAGACTTAAATTTATGATAATTCTCAAGGGAGAGATAAACGACACTTTTTGGTCATGTGCCTGGAAAGCACCTCTCAAAAACATCAATTGTAAAAATAAATGCTCTTTATATGAGGAGAGACAGGTGTTATTGTGTTGCCCTAACCTGTGGCATTTCTGTGAGGAGGTGCAAGACCAGGCCCCCACACTGTTTAAGCATTTAGAGGACGGCAGATAACATGTTCCTCCACATCCATTCGTAGCTCCCAAAACTGCGGTGGTTGGCATCACAGATTTGAAGCACTCAAAAAAAATTCCAGAAGTTTTGACTTTTCACTTTTTTCATCTTAAAAAAGAAGAGCTGGACCTGGCACCACACCAAGCATCATATCATCCTCTTGAGTTGACCACGGCCCACTGGCGTGTGAAAACCAGGCCATGAAAGCAAATGGCTTGGCCATGGTTACTAGATAAGTAGAGCAATTCGGAGCCTTGACTATGATTCTGCCTTTTCAGAAATCTAACCCAAAGACATCATACTTGGAGGAAAACATATATAACAGGGATGTCCAATCTTTTGGCTTCCCTGGGCCACCTTGGAAGAAGAAGAATTGTCTTGGGCCACACATAAAATACATTAACACTAATGATAGTTGATGAGCTTAAAAAAATCACAAAAAAATTTATGATATATTAAGAAAGTTTACAAATTTGTGTTGTGTTGCATTCAAAGCCATGTTGAGCCTCATTCAAAGCTGTCCTGGGCCACATGCGGCCTGCCATCCACGGGTTGGACAAGTTTGATGTACAGTAAAGCACATAGCATTACAGAGTTACAGAACATTCTGACCAACTACTGTATAAGAAAAATGGATGCCAATTTTTACCCTGTCAACCGGAAGACTCTTCTGTCGGTTTCCAGCAACTGTATCTGTAGAATAGCATCTCGGTCCTACCGTTTTAGATGAGATTGTAAATTTACATACAAGATTCAAAGATATATAATACTCATCAGACACAGTTACACCTAAGGCTCTAAAAAGGAATCTTGACATTATTTTGTTATTTAAAAGACAATCATTTGTGACAAAATGACCTTCCCCCAAAAGAATTTAATCAGCAGCTAATCTCTGGAGACTACATGTACTAGCTTATATGACAAACAAAGGAGCTTTGTGATGAATAATTTTGACATGGGAAAATGATCCTGGATTATCTGGGTGGACCCTAAATGCAATCACTTATTATAGATGAGCGGTAACACACACTCAGAAGAGAAGGAGATGATAGGACCACGGAAATCGAAGGATGCGGCCACCAAGGAATACCACAGCCACCAGAAGCTGGAAGAGCCAAGCAATGGACGTTTCCCCAGAGCCTCTGGAGGGAGCGGGCCCTGCTGACACCTTGAGTTTGGCCTAGTCAAACTGACTTCAGACTTCTAGCCTTCAGAACAGGGAAACAATACATTTCAGGTTTGTTTATGGCAATTTATTATAGCAGCAACAGGAAATTAGTGCATAAATCACTGGCCCCCATTTTCTTGCTCAGGTGAAAAATGTCCCTTGCGTTCACTCTCTTTGGACTTTCAGGGCCCACCATGTGCTCAACTGACAACTGCAGGCACAGCCTATTCTCATTGCATAGGGGGCATTGTCTAAATTTAGCATAGTCCATTCTCATTGCATAGGGGGCCTTGTCTAAACTTATAGGTTTGACTTGACAAATAATACAAACAAAATAAATTTAGTTTTGACAGACTGAAATGAATTGGTTGATGTAAACATAAAGAACTATATGATTTTTTAAAACTACTTCTTATTTTTAAAAGCCAAACACAGTAATTGTGGATTATAACATATGTATACATGTGTTTGTGGGTATGTATACATGCATATATATATAAATATATATGAATTTTCAACCAAAATGGTAAGAAAATTGTCGTTAAAATGCCATAATTTATCTTTTACTGGTAATTTCTAACTTATTCCTTTAATTTTCTCTACCTCCTGAACACCCTTACCCAAAAATTGGAGATGAAAGTTTTGTTTATCCATCCAGCTCCTCTTTATCATTGTCTTAGTCTGTTCAGCTGTGAAATCACTACAGTAGGGATAACACTTCTAAATATAATCTGCTGTAATCTGCATAATTGTCTAACAGAAAACAGGTGTTGCCTTCTCAATTCGCCTGAGGACGGTCTCTGAAGCAAACGTCACAAACATGTGCAAATCATTGGATAATATGCTAAATCAGAGGACGAGTTTTTATTAAGAATTTCAAATCTGCAAAATGGGTTCTCCTTGTATTATTTTTTCCTGGAAACTTTCAGGTGTTTTCCTTTGTGCTGTATGTAGTATTTAAGTCTGTATGCTAATCTTGACCTAGATCCATATTCATCTTTCCATCATTAAACACGATCCTGTCATTCACATGTTTGAAGGCTTAAGAGTGACTGCTTCTACACTTTTAACTGCATGCAATTTGGCATCCTGTTTCCCATAACTGCCATATCCATGTTTTATGGGATTTTGAAAAGGTTTCGGAAAGTATTTTGGACACAGGACAGCCTACTGAATGAGACTTGGAAAGGGCCCCAAGCAAAGTGGTAGGGGCCAAAAGAAAGCCCAGAAATGATTCATGGTGTGTTCACACCGTGTGGGCTGGCAAGTGCGGGAGACGGCTCTCTGCTAGCAGACTGGAACTAAATTCTTAGACATTCCTGGGCTGCCAAACAATGTCATCACAGGGGTTCCTAAAGAAGCTGTGAATTGGATGTCAGTGTCTTTTGGCTGAAAGAAGTGTTTGTGTCAGACCCCAAGAGGTCTTCTTAGATACATTTTTCTAATTGAGTCTCCTTCTCTTTCCCTGACAAAGAAAAGCATTGACACCTGTGTGTTCTGCGTGGGGACAACTTTCAGCTAAGCCAGATTCCAAGTGGGAGGTTATAGCAGGCTTGGCTGTGGTTTATTCCCTCTGCCAGTTCAATACTTTTACCCCACATTTTCAAAGAAAGTGTATGCTCTGTCTGGTCCCTGCACACCCTTCCTCCTCACCCAACACTCTGTGGTCCTACAATGTGACTACTATTCTTGCTTCTAGAGCGACCAGGCCACACAGCCTCCAAGGGGGATCCCATCGCCATGGCAGACAATTTGGCTACATCCTGCCCTTCTCTTTCCTTCTCCCCCTGACCTTTTATTTCCAGGCTGAAAATCCACAGCTCTTTAACACACTCTGCAGCAGCCCATTTTTAGCTTAAATAAAAGTGGAGAGAGGATTTAATATTCCAATCCCACTGCATTACTGTCAAATACGTTTATACTAGTGAGAGGAAAATAAATACATTCTGTCATATAGATGCCATTCAAATCTAATGGGACTCAATTTCATGCTTTCAATACTGAGAGGAAGTAACCAGATTAGCCTCAAATCAAGAGTGATTCTTGAAACTTCTCTATTTGCCACATGCTAGATTTCCAGTTTTTTTTTTTTTAATTGCCTTTTGGTCTTTTTCTTTTTTCAATAGCAGCAACACTAGATACCATTCTGACATGCTTTCCTCGGGATCCTATTAATTAGAATTGATTATCTCTGGGTATGCATCAACTTATAAAGTAGAAAAAGGCCCAGGATTTTTCAGAGAAGTTATGAGAAGTCTTTCATAACTAAAATTTTTTTAACACATCTGACACATACAGATTTTAAAAATAGCCACAGGAGAATTCAGTTAGAATTTACTTGATAATTTGAAGAAAATCATCACTCACGTTAGACAAAGTATTGTCAAGAGGGTCAAGGGAGGAGCCACACATCCTCTTCTGCTTGATCCTCTCAACAACTGTGGGACAGCATTATGTCATCCTCCCATTTCGAAGGTGGCAACCCTGCAGCCTGGCATGGCTTTCCCAACATCCCACAGAGTAAAACATAGGGTTAGGACAGGACTGTAGGGTTTTCCAGCTCCAGATCTTCAATCTTTTCCACAGCACTATTGAAAGCTACAAACTGGCTGGACATAGTGGCTTACGCCTGTAATCCCAGCACTTTGGGAGGCCAAGGTGGGAGGATCGTGAGGTCAGGAGTTCAAGACCAGCCTGGCCAACATGGTGAAACCCCATCTCTACTAAAAATACAAAAATTAGCTGGGCGTAGTGGCAGGCACCTGTAATCCCAGCTACTCAGGAACTCAGGAGCCTGAGACAGGAGAATAGTCGTAACTGGGAATGCAGAGGTTGCAGTGAGCTGAGATCACCACTGCACTCCAGCCTGGGTGACAAAGCAAGACTCCATCTCAAAAAAAAAAAACAAGAAAGAAAGAAAGAAAGAAAGAAAGAAAGAAAGAAAGAAAGAAAGAAAGAAAGAAAGAAAGAGAGAAAAAAGAAAGCTGAAAACTATGCTGGTAACCAAGAAGATGTTTTGTTATCCATATAGCCATATATACACTTATTAAATAAATACTTAAATACTTTCCAGGTTTCTGTTGCACGTGACGCCTGTCACCAAGCACCAAAGAAGCTCTCCTACCACATCTGGTCATGTAGCACATGTTCATCAAACACTTACTACCATAGCATTGTATGTGCCTTGGGCTGGAGTGGGTGTTCG